GTGAGAACACCATACTGCCACAGTGTGAGAACACCATACTGCCACAGTGTGAGAATACCATACTGCCACAGTGTGAGAACACCATACTGCCATAGTGAGAGGGCACCATACTGCCATAGTGAGAGGGCATGGTACTGCCATAGTGCCAGGGCACGGTACTGCCATAGTAAGAGGACACGATACTGCCATAGTAAGAGGACATGATACTGCCATAGTGAGAGGGCACCATACTGCCATAGTGAGAGGGCACCATACTGCCATAGTAAGAGGACACCATACTGCCATAGTAAGAGGACACCATACTGCCATAGTAAGAGGGCACCATACTGCCATAGTAAGAGGACACCATACTGCCATAGTAAGAGGACACCATACTGCCATAGTAAGAGGACATGATACTGCCATAGTAAGAGGGCATGGTACTGCCATAGTGAGAGGGCACCATAATACTACATGAGAGTATGCTGTACTAATTTGTCCTAGTTATGTAATACATGTGATTATGTAATATTTAGTTTAATCTGTGCTTATGATTTGCAAAAATAAAACCATATGTCTTTTTGATCTGGTTCTCTCAGTTACATCCATTTTGTAAACTGACCATGTCTCATCATCATGCAATGTCCCAATCAAAACTTTTGTTAAATATGATTGAAGACGTGTGATTTATTTCAAGACAGCAAAAACACTCAAGACATACCTAAAGAACAACTTCCTTGGATGGATTAAAGCCTTGCATGTGTTAATATTTCTAAAAATTTGTATTTCTCTCACAATTTCTTCTGATCAATTGCATATTCATCTCATGTCACTATGGTTATTTCATCCACCTTATTTGAAAACGTAATTAGAATAATGAAGTTATATCATCTACTCAATATTGATGAATTTAATTTGCGTTGTATTCATCCCTCGGGTGCCCTCACAAGTCGTTAAAAAAAACCTGCAATGATATATTATGTTTAAGGTACACGAGTGTTTACATTAAAAGGTAATACTACGTCAGCAACGCGTCTTGATTGACAAGCGTTATTGTTCTCACTGCATTGTTCTGTTGTATAACTGTTAATAGGTGTACATAGCCCTGGGTAATGTTTGCAAGTTTGTCTGTTCTACTTTGAACACTTAAGGTGATAATTATCTGAAAATTGCATTCTGTAATGTAATTGAATGTAATATGGGTACCACCACGTTTTGAAAGCCTCTGATAATTCCATTCACTTTAGCCATTCTTCCCCAGTTTGTATAGATTTTTGTTCATTGTATAGCGAGAAAGTTATTAGCTCTATATGTGTATAGCAAACTCAGTGTTCTACGGAAGTTATTATTTTTCAATCAAATTGAATTAACTGAATGCAACCAGCAATTTTCAGTTCATCATTTCGTGCTCCCTTCAAGAACAGCAGCATTGTAGATATTAATTATTGAATGTACAACTTGTACATGATTCTTGTTGATATTAACTAATTAATATTCATTTTCATTGTTATATCGAAAGTCTCGGTATGTATGCAATGAATATGCAGTCAGTATGCAAATAACATGCACACAGCTGCTAATGTTTGCATATTCCTAAAATTTACTTACTGTACATTATATATTTGTAGTGAATTAAATGAGGATATTTTGCTAATAATATATTATTATTTATACTATGCAGTCATGAATGTTTTTCAGATAAAATAATTATAAATGTTTTTCTTAATTTCTAATAACGATTGAAAACAACTTGACTAATCCGAATGCCTTTGTGGATATGTACCGCTTGTATATAATGTTTTGATTGGATGCAGTAAATTGACCAATGATTTGAGGAAACCCAGAAAGATTCATGGGTAATGGCATTACTGCATGGCTTTTATAACCAATGAGAGCATCGTCTTCAAATTTGAATAAGAAGCATAAAGGTCTTATGGAGTAAATAAAGTTTGAATTTATATAAACAAAACATGCCTTCGTGAAATTCACTGTATAGAAAAAGAATTATCATAAAAAAAAATGTCCCCACATTAGTATTTAACTTTGTTCATCTTATTCAATTGAATTCTCTGGCTTCATAAACTCAAGGACAATTTAGTTATTAGTCCCTGTTCAGACAAAGTCCAAAAACGGAGACTTATTAACCGGTCTCCGTTCGTCTGTCCGTCCGTCGGTTTGTGCGTCCGTCTGGAGTCATATTTTTCAAAATCCTTTGTATCGATTCTGTTCATTCTTTGCATGTGCCTAGTACTTTATGTGGGACATATGCACATACAGTGGTTTTGTGATTTGACTCAAAATGGCCGACTGGCAGCTATCTTGTTTTTTGAAAATGTCGTATTTTGGACATGCTTTGTCAGTTTTCATTCACACTTGGTACATACATTATACATGTTAGGATACATGTCCATGACAATTTATTTCGCAATTGGATAAAAGACGGCCGACTGAAAGGCATCTTGTTTATTTTTTTAAATGTGATATCTTGGACATCCTTTGTCAGTTTTCATTAAATTTGGCACATACTTTATACATGTTAGAATACATGTCCATGACAATTTGTTTCAAAATCAGATCAAAGATGGCTGATTGACAGCCTTTTGACTTTTTGGCCTTACTACTATATTTCCACAATTTATGTACCATTCTCATTCGTATTTGGCACATACATCATACATGACACTT